CGTAGAGATCCTGATTTCTTTTTCCAGTACAAGACTGATGGGAGAGGGCACCTGATGGGACTACTCTAGTGTGACTTTCAATGTCAGATGGATTATAGAGCGTTTGGTGATGTCGTCGTGTTTGATGGCACGTACAAAACGAATCGATACAACCTGACCCTTGTTCCTTTTGTTGGGGTGAATCACCATAAAAGCACGGTTCTTTTTGCCTGTGGAATTCTTTCTCATGAGGATACTGAGTCGTATGTGTGGCTGCTTGGGTCATTCTGTGATGCCATGATTCAGAAGCATCCGATTTCTGTGATCACCGATGGAGACCGTGCTATGCAGAAAGCAATCAGTATTGTGTGGCCGAATTCATCGCATAGGCTATGCATATGGCATATTGAGGTGTGCATTGCACGTAATCTTCACACCCAGGATCTGAAGGATAAGGTTAGGGGTTTTCTTTATGATCGTTGCTCCATAGAAAAGATTGAGAGGAAATGGATAGCATTCTTGGCAAAGGAGAAAGTTACAGATAAGGACTCGTGGCTGTACTAGATGTATGAGATGAGGGAAATCTGGTGTGCGGCGTATCATGCTGGTAAGTGCTACTTAGGACTGAGGAGCAACTAGTGTAGTGAGAGCCTACACTCTAGGATTCAGTTTAATCTAGATCAGAAAATGACACTGTTAGAGCTGATACAACACGTTGACCACTGTCTTTCAAAGTTGCGCAGTAATGAAGCGTATCTAGACTTTCAAGCAAGTTCTAAGCCATGCTTACAACCAGATGCTTCAACTATTGAGAAAGAGGCTGCGAATTTGTTCACACCAAGTGTTTATTTTGCTGATGTGCAGTACAGCGTAAAAGCATCCGACAAGTGTTATTGGATTGAGACTGTAGATGGCTATGATATTGTTGAGTATATTGTTGGAAGGGTTGATAAAGGAGACAAACAATACTATGTGAAATGTGAGATATGCGTTGTTGAACGCAAGCTGAAGGAAATTTCTTGTTCTTGTCTAAAGTTACAGTCCCTTGGAACCCCATGCTCACACATCTTCTTTGTATTGGGTCATCGAGGAGAACACAAGCTTCCAGACTGCTGTGTTTTGGAAAGGTGGACGAGGGGGCCAAGCGTGGATTTCCTCCTATAAGGAAGAGCGCCATGTATGACTATTCCGATAGCCTACAAAGGTACCATGAGCTACACAATATCAGTCAAACGGTATCCTTCGTAGCATCTCAATCATTTGAAGCATATGGGCGGCTGAAACACGTTCTTCATGAGGAAGCTGCTATGATCCCTCCAAATGGAGGAGAGAACAGAGGCAAGAGGTTTGGTCCTGTGCTGCCGCAAGCCCTGGATGTTGATTCTGCAGATGTCTTTGATCCCATACATGTGCCTGGCAGAGGGGCCTAAAGAAAAAGTTGAAGTCAGTTTCAGATAAATCTAAGAAGAAATGTACTCTATGTAAGGGTGAGGGTCACAATCGGCGAACATGCTCCAAGAGAGAAGAGGTAAGCTAAGTGTAATGTTCATCAAAGCTGAAAACTGGCTGTCTGTGAGGCATGTGTACTTATGGGTAATGTTCCTCTTCATTTGTAGGAAACAATGCTCCCTGAGGATGTGCCGGATATATGATTTGCCAAAGGTAACTAAAATGGCCTAGTCTTGTGTAAACACTACACTGTTTAGCACATTTGCTTTCCTTGTCACGTGAAACCCATACCCTTGCTGTTTGCTGCCTATATCTGCTGATTGTTCTCACAGATTTCTGGAACAATCCTGTACAATGGAAATGTGTGCTGCTCTGCCTGCGAACGAAGCATTTTTATCTGAAAAGCCATAAGTTGTGGAATATTGCTTTATACTGCTTATTCCTTAAAAGCACCTCAATTTTGATGCATCTGCTTCGCCGCCGCTGCTCCTCGCCTTCGCCCCGTGGGGCTGCGTCCCCTTCCCTGCCCTGGTGCGCGCCGCCGCCGCCTCCCCAATGATGAACCTGACGCCCACGCAGCCCCGTATCCACACCAGAGAAACCCACATGCCCTCGTGCCTCCGCCTTCGACCAGCGAGAATCAGAAGCACCACCTCCAATCCGAGCTCATGCGGGCGAATCAACGGGGCCCCGAAGCGGGCGAATCAAGCTCTGGAGTCGAAGAGCTGGGCGAATCCGGCAGTGGTCGTGGGGAGCTGTGCCACCGCGAGATCTTCCCCGGAGCCGGAGGTGGCGTCTGGAGCTCTTGACATCAAGGGCATTTGTGAGTTCACTGATATTTTTCATGGGTAAAACTGTTTGGTTGTGTATGTCTTGATTTTGGAAGTAGTTAGTAGTAACTGTTTGTGTATGTCTTGATAAGACATGTGGTTTCAGTTCCCTCTAATAATCCACAAATAAAATGTCACATGCCATGATGCAAACACAGAAGCTCCCTTCTATATCCAATCCGCTCATATGTTGTAGGTACACTACAATTTGTAGTGCGCATAGACAGACATCAAGCACCGTGTCTGAAGGTGAGACATTGGAGAAAAATAAAGCAGGCTAACTTTAGTGACCATGAGTGTTTGGCCATGTTTATCCACCAGTTTGCATTTCTCCAACTGTCACTTTCAGTGCCTGATCTGAGAGCCTCATGAAAACCAACAAAGATGAGTGCAAAGGAAACTAAGTAACTATCCACGGTTGGGAGACAAGCTGTTGCTTTCAGCAGGAGTGCATAGTATTTCAAAATGAGCAAAATGGGAACTTTAGATAAATTTAAAAATTTTAAATTGAGGGATGTTGCATTCATGCCTTTGCATAAATTTGTATTGTTGTCAAAATTGAATTTATAAAATTCTACGTAAGTTCGAATCAAATTTTTGATCTATTTATAAAATAATTAGATTTTGTTAAATTTTATTTCAAAATCAAGTTCAAAGCTGTATTTCAAAACTCAAAAATTATTAGGAATATTTCAAAACCTGATTTGTCAAAAGCCCTTTCCCTCTCTTGGCCCGAAGCCCAGCAGGCAGCAGCCCATCAGCAACAACAGGCCAGCCCCGCAACAACATGCGACGTGGCCCAGCGCCCTGTGCCCGCACCCCTGTCGCTGACCTGCAGGGCCCGCGTGTTAGCGGCTCCACGCACAGTGTCGCCTCCTTCCCTGGAGACGGACACAGAGCGGCAACTTCTCCCCAACTCCCGGCGATATGCCTCTGGGCCAAAGCCCACTACCCCTCCCCTCCATCGAACGTGCCCTGCCATGCCGCATCAACCGGGCGTAGCCACCGCCGCCCGATCCCCTCGATCGTGGCCCCCGAGGTTCCCCGCGCCTGCCCCTATAAACAGTATGCCCAGAGCACCGCGCCGCCACCTTAGAACCCTAAAGGGGCCGCTCGAGCCGTAGCCTTAGCCCTAGCCCTAGCCCGCCGTCGGCCGGAGCTCGACGCGCCACCGCCGCTGATCTCCGCCTTCACCGCGTCGCCGGCCACATCCACGTCGTCTAGAGATGAATCTAGGAAAATCATCGGCTGAGAAGAAGATGAAGACGGGAAAATCCACGGCTCTGAAGAAGAGCGCCGAAAGGTGCTTGGCCCCTGACTGCGTGAACTGCGTGAATGGAGTCTCTCCATGTCTCTCCCTGAGAGGGAGAGACGGCTTCAGCTGCTGCAACTGCTGGAACTGGAATCACGGTCGTCGCAATGCTTGCGTGAACGGAGGATGTGATATTCCTATCAAAAGGCCCAGGTCACCCAACGAGGTATGTCTGTGGAACGATGAATTTTTAGAGATCTGTTTGTAGTTGAATTGGAAACACCTATGCCTGTTTGTTTCTATGCAATCGAGTCCATAGCTCATGCTTGCATATTTCTATGCAATTTTTTTTTCAAGTGCTAATGAGTGTTTGGTCTGGTTCCACGAGAGATAGATGCATTGGCTCTTTTATATGATCCATTATATTTTAGGTGTGCAATCATGAATTCTGCCCTGACGACGGCCGATGCAATAAGTATCTGTGCCGCAACTGCAAGAACAATGTCTCTCCGTGCCTAAATCCTGTCGGTGGCATCGACGACCTGTTGGCGTGGTGCTGCAACTGCTGGAGCCATGAGATCCGTAGATGCTTGAATGGGTGTCAGGACTGGAGTAACGAGGAGGACGTGTCAGACCACTAGGTATCTTCTTGCACTGCTGCATGTAATTTGTACTACACAACCCACTTCATTTGACATGTATTATTTTTGGCATGTATTATTTTTGACAGATTCCATACTTACACGATGACACAGCCCTTAATTGAAAATCAGTCTTACTGAGTATGGGCTGTCAATAGACAAAAGAAGGTTGATGCCATGAAAAACATCCTCGAGCACCAAGGAAAGATGATAGACGACATGTCTGAGATTATCGGGGATCTCAGAAGGAAGGTCGAAGCCAACCTTGGCAAGATTTAAAAACCATGCCAATATATTGTAGTTTTATCGTACGCCCGCATGAGAGCGTTAGCGTTCTCTTTTCCTAGTCTAAATTTCTGATTCTGAACACATGTATTTCCGCTTGCTTAACAGAAATGGTTGATCTCGTGTCAAAAGAAAATGTCTGTCTGATTTCATGAAAAAGTTGGAGCTACGAGTTTACATTATTTATCCAACAGGCCGTCAAACTTAGTTGCGACATGATTAGCTTTCAGACCATGCCGATGAGCTTGATTGACTTCATCAGCCAGCTTTATGGATTCATGTCTCTGACCTGATGGAGAGTCCATATGTGGCTTCCAGAATGAAACATAGCCTATGATGTATATTATACTATACATGCTTGCAGAAATAAACATAGGGTAATACACAGAAACTAACGCAGCAGTGCACAAGCAAATCATCGCATTGAACCTCCTTGCAGTGTTTTCACACGAAAAATGCTAGATACAGCAAAAAAGTGGACTGTAACATGGGGCGACTTTGTTCATCCGGATTCTGTATCTGATAAAACCATCGACTGAAACTATATTGAAGACAGTGTTTCTCTTAAACTACTCTCGTCCACGGTGGCGTGGGACTGGGCTGGACGATCACTTCACTTTTGTTTGCCCCCACGTTCAGTTGCTGGAGTCCAAGCAAAAGGTCCCTGGAATCAAGGAACACCTTGTTGCTTGAGGCCGCCATGGTGTGGGAGATCTCCCTGGCAGCTTCAATCTGTCTCAGAGCTAGGAAAGCGGGGTTGTTCGCAATGGCTTGACCAATCAGCTCAGCACTCTTAGCCTCACCCTGTTCAAACACAAGTCACAAACAGACAGCGATTCAGAATCATCAGTGTAAAAAGGGAATAATGCAATGGTACATACACAACTGCATACAGAGACATAAAGAACACTGTTTTCAGCGTGAGAAACTGAAACTACAGGCATATTTCAGCGTGAGAAACTGAAATTACAGGCATATATTTAACATCTCGAAGGAAGTAGATTAAAGTCATTGCATTTTTTTCTTTCTTGTAATTACTTGTTTCAAGCCAGACAAAGGACATGCTTATACAAGAAGGGTAGCTACTGACCTGTGCCCTGATGATTGCACTGCGCTTGTCCTGCTCGGCCTTCTCAACAATGAACTTGGCACGCTCAGCTTCTTGTGCAGCAACCTGTTTGGCTTCAATGGCATGAGTAAACTCTTTTCCAAAGCTGAGGCTTGTGATGGACACATCATCGAGAGCGATATTGAAGTTGTTGGCCCTCTCAGTCAGAATCTTCCTAATCTCCCTGCTCACAGCCTGCATTGGAATTGAATGCATGAATTGTTAACATATCCTAATCTACTGCAATCCTAGCAAGACAGTTGTTATCTAGGGAACATGTCTCAACACATGAAGCAGTACCTCTCTCTGTGCGATCAGCTGACTGGCATTGTATTGAGCAACCACAGCTTTGAGTGTTTCATGAATGATTGAAGGCAGAACTCTCTCATTGAAGTTCTCCCCCAGGTTCCTGTAGATTTTAGGTAGCTGATCTGGCATGGGTCGAGTAAGAACACGAAGACCAATTCTCACCTGACCAAGTTTCTAACCTAGTATACGAAAAAACCTAAGTCCAAGAACATTTAATTCAAGCTCATATCTGCAAATGAGATTTGTCAATAAATAATTCACTAAATAAAGAGAGCATACTTGACAGTTTCTAACCTAGTATACGAAAACCATCAATCCTGTAAGACCATATCCCTTTTGCCAATTGGAAACAAGCACTGTATGCTATGATGAACACACAATTGCAAGTGATTTGTATGAACTACTCTAGTAGTTACGATATTCTCTGAACTAAGAATCAAAAGACATGAACTTGCAGCAGCGAGAAACCAACCTGGGTAACGCCTACGCCAGGTAAAGTGCGCGAGAAGCGCGCAATGAGGTCAGCCGCGAGGGGCGCGCCGCCGCAGTTCACCGCCAAGAGCGTGGCCACGTGGGCGGCAGCGCCCGCGTCCGCTTCCTCGGCGGTGCGCACGATGGCCAGCAGCGCCGGCGGTGCCAGCGTGAGGCGCGTGACGCCGAACCTGCCCATCGCAGATAGCACCGCAGTGGTGTCGAACCTGCCCCTGGTCGTGTGCAGCACGCCAGCACTAGCGTCGGTGTCGGCGCCGGCGCCTCCTCCTCATGGCGCGCTTGGATCTAGGTTTCATGGCCCCAGGGCCGTACCTATGATTTGGAGGACCCTGAACAAAACGTGCGATGTGGCCCTAAAGTTCAAGAAGTAAACTAAGATTCTTTCACAACATATAAGAGCACCCCTTTGAGTTTGAGCCACAACTTCTAATCTTTACTTCTTCTTATGCTTTTCATGGCTAGAATCATACCTCCTATTTCTAGAAGACATGATGAAGATCAATGAAATAAACAAATTTCCTCTCCAATCCCTTGACTATAATGCGGATTTTTAGATTATCTAATTGGTTAATCTCCTATCCAAGATACAACAATAGACAATTGGAATGAAAGTGGTATGGCGGTGGCACGGCGGATGACCATAGGCCTTACTTTGGGCCAATACTAAACTAGTGATTGCAGGCCTAGTGGCATCTTTTTTTTCTATTCAAGGATTAATTATTGCTAATTACTACTTAGTGTAAATATGGAGGCCCTGCAATTTTGGAGGCCCTGAACAGTTGCCCCACTTGTTCCTGTTAATGTACGGGGCTGATGGCCCCCATCCTCTCCTGCCTCCTCTTGCTCCACCATGGACGAACGCCGAGGGCGGCGCCCGAGCGGAGTACGGCAAGGAGGAGGGCGACGCCCGAGCGGATGACGGCGAGGAGGAACGAGGGGTAGGGGTGGCCCGTTGCCCTGCGCCCGGACTCCTCCCATCAGCGGCGGCGGCGGCTCACAGGACGGCGGCGGTGGAACCCTATAAGAAGTAAACAACATATTCATTTAACTAACTATACTAATTGTATTATCCATCCTAACTATATTACTCAAAACATTATTTTTGCATTTATAGAGTTACCGTTTTACCCTTTATAAAAAAAACTACGAGAATGGAATTACCGCCCAGTCCTAATCCCCACATTTGCAGAGGCAATGGAAGACGATTTTTGCGCATATGGCTCACTGATCATAGACACAACAATCGCCTCCCGTTGCCTCCGTCCCATTGCCTCCCGTTGCCTCCTACCTTTGTTGCCGTCGGATTGGCCGCTCTCGGTCGATGTCATCCATTGAATTTTTCCCCAATTATTGTAAAAAATTTCTTGTAGGTATCCCTTTCCCTGCCTTTTCAGTGCGTTTTTTAAGCCATAGCGGGTATCAAATGATTGAAGGAAGAAGATGACTAGATTAAGCAGATGCATCGTTTCTTGGGCTAACGATGCATGAGATTAAGCAGATGCATGTTGCTAGTATCATGAGAATTTGAGCCATATGCATAACTACCGGTGCGTCTAGTAGCATATACAGGGATGCATTGTTAGATTAGAAATACATAACTCACTGTGTAGATTGCAAACTCTTGATGACGAGCTCTTCGCAACAACAACGATCCAATGGACTGCCAGTCTCTAGTGAAGTTGCCAAAAAGTGTGTTTGAAACTAAAACATGACGTCACACAAGCCCTTCACGTGTAACCCATAGAGGTGAACCTTGCAGCACCGTCTGCGGAAACTGGACCACCCGGTTTCGTTGGGACAAATTAACAAACGCTTGCCTAGGAGAGATCCCAATCAGAGCAAGCGCACCTTGAGTTTGACCTAGCGTTGGTACGCCAACTATGGTGTCTTTCTCATGCCATGGAAACGAGTGAAGAATAGCACATAGTGGTATAGAGGAAAATGTAAAAGTTAAATGTCAAAGGATATAAGATAAATGTGTTTGACGGATTGGTTGATACTCAATTGGTTGTGATGACCCTTTGTATTTATATTGGGCGAGCCTAAATACATCAAGTTTTACAATTAAAATTGACTCGGATCGATCTATACTATCGAAATCGGATTCACCGGTTTCCAAAAAAAAAAACACGGATCACCCTGTTTACTCGAGGAAGAATCTTACGAAGGATATAACTTTCTCATCCAGACTCCAAATTAATTAAACATTCCACATATACATTTCGATCGTATTGATGAGACTTCTGCAATGATGAAGTTCATTCTAACAATAATGTTGGTCTTCTTCAAAGCCGCATGATCCGATTTCTTACCAATATCGATCAAGAACAACCGTCATAATTGACCGGTCACTGCTGACGTGCACTTAATGTTCGTCACTGTTTAGCTATGTGACCTTTCATGCATAGGAGTAGTGATTATTACATCTTGATTGCGTGCTCAGTCTCAGTATCAATTTATCGTCACGTTTTGTTAGCAGCTTGTTTGGCCAGTTTCACGGGTGGTCGATTCTTTATCGGAAGCACGGTAGCAATTCCAGGAGAAGAAGAAAAGTCCAAGCAGCTGTATATATATGGGTACAAAAACCCTGTAGCACTCACAGAAATTAAACAAAAAAACAGTGGAAAATCGAACGCAATCATACCACACGGAACCTGCAGAAACCACAGGAGGTTTTTCAAGATCCGTGTCCCCGACGCGAAAATGTGGGGGAGAAGAGAAACACACGCTAATACGCTATATCAGTTGGCTATACATCGTCGTCCGTGTATAGCTAGCCCAGCCAAGTCGCAGAGAACGGCAAGACCGGAACACTTCAAGTCGACGATCCATGTGTAGCGACCTAGGCAGGCAGGGCAGAGACTTGTCTACAATTTCCGTCCACACGTTTCGTCCAGCCGGAAACCTGCCGATAGCTATTAAAACCAAGCCGATCGCTTTCAGCATCAACGACGCTTCAACTGTTCCACAGGATCTGTGGTGGTTGTAAGTTTTTCAACGAGGAAATTTGATCGACACACGGCGAATGGCCGCACAGTCCTTGACTTTTATTTATTTATTTATCCTCTCTATCTATCTACTAGCTAGAGTACGTACGTCTAGAACGATGACACATGCGTGCATATTAGCGCGTATTTTTGTGTTGGAAGGAGAATTACACGATCGACGCATGGAACTCCTCCCCATCAATCACGTTACCAGAAAGTACGTGCAACGTGAGGCTTTGACCAGTTGAGCACACACTGACACTGACAGCAGCGACCGAACGAACAACGAAGCGAATTTCTTCTCCTGCTTTAATTTCAGATGAAGATCGGATGCATGGCCTGGGTCTGGGTGAGCCACGACGCCAGCAACCTGCTGCTGCTGGAGTATAAACAAGACGAGCTCGCTCTGCTTCCTCTCCGGCTATCTTTCCATCATCTACCTCCCTCTCCCATAATCTCCACTGCTCCAGGCTCGATCTCATCTTTGGCAGCATCCCTCCCATCGTGCGTGCTTGCGTGATGGCGTCAGTCCAGCCGTCCACGGAGACGACGCAGCCAGCAGGGCCGCCTGCCAACGATTCTAATTCTCCCGCCAGGGTACGTTTGCCCGCCGGCCGTCACCAATTCCATCACCATGCATGCAGCTTGCCAGCGACTAATGATGGCAACAACTCGATCGCAGGACGATGGCAGCAGGAGCGCCGAGGAGAAGGCAGCGATCGACAACTGGCTCCCCATCAACGCGTCGAGGAACGCCAAGTGGTGGTACTCCGCCTTCCACAACGTCACCGCCATGGTCGGCGCCGGCGTGCTCGGCCTTCCCTACGCCATGTCCGAGCTCGGCTGGTATGTACACTTGTCAATTATCAATCTAGCTAGTATTCCCTCTGCCCAATTTTTTTTTTTGTGGTTCTCACTTTTCAGCGAGTCAAACAATCGAAAGTTTGACCAAAGTTATAAAAAATAATAATAACATTTATGATATACAAAATATGTATCGCTAATTTAATTATGAACTATATTTTTTAGTAAATCTAATTGAAGACATAAATATCAATACTATTTAATATATACTTATTAGTTAAATTAAGCCAGTCTGACTTACATAAATTTTATAGTTGCATTTTTTTTGGACGGACAGAGTACTGTGTTGCATAATTAACGTTCTCCATGCCTCCTACCGAAATATATCCATTTTGGAAGTTCCACACTGGGATTCCCTATGTGTTGACTAGTCAAAATATTCTCGATTTTGTTATGAATTTTGACTGAAATTTTGTACTGAGACGTAAAAAGAAGAAACTAATTAATACACTAGACTAGGATTGATTTCCCCTTTTATACAGGAGAGAATTTCTTATTTGACACTGGAAAAATGAGTCGTTCTTTTGTTGGTCCTAAAATTTTCTTCGTTCCCTATTTGACATTAACTTCAACTTTTATCCCTAATTTGACACTACCGTCAAATCCATTAGCTAACGGTGTTAACTGACTGTTAAAAAGATGTTTTTGCCCCTAGACGCATGCAGACGCTGGCGCTGGCGCCATGCATGCATCGGGCGTTGGGCGCATGCATGCAGCGCATGCAGAGGCGCTGTTGCATGCATGCATCGCTGGCTGGCTAGTCTTTTTTTGCAGCTGGGCGCATGCATCAGAGGCAGGCGCAGGTTTTTTTTCCTCTCAAATTTGCTTCGTCGCTTTTTTTTTCTTTTTTTTTTTGCTGGTGGCTAGTTTGCAGAAGCTGGCAAGCCGTTTTTTCTTTTTTTTCAACATGATACAACATCAATTTAACACATTTATACAACATTTATTTTAACATTTATACAACATGATAATGACACATGATATAGCAAGTTCATAGACCGACACCACATTAACTTCAAAAACATAACGGTTCACATATACATGCAAGTTCATAGGAGTTCAAATTCACATGCAAATTCATAGGAGTTCAAATTCACATGCAAGTTCACAGGAGTTCAAATTCACATGCAAGTTGGCAAGCAGTTTTCTCCTCAAAGTTGAACTGAACTTAAGAAAAGTCAGTAATAGAAGTTTGATCCCTAAGATCAAAGAACAACTTTGTCCATTACACCTTGGCCTGATTCAAACCGGAAGCCGTTCAAAATTTGAGCCAAAGTTGGCCAAAACTCTGAAAATCGGCAAACTTGAAAATTTTGTCTTTCTCAATGAACGCGTTCCCACAAACATTGGTGCTCCATATTTTCAAATTCGTTTATATTTTGGGCAAAATCCATTTGTAAGATTTAAACCTGGATGTTAGGGCTACAAGTTTTATAAAGGTAGAATTTGAAGCGCAGTTCAAAATTTCGAAGATAAACGTGCTCAAACCCGGCCCTGTTAACTGGCCGTTCACCTGCCTCGCGTGCACCGCGCCGCGAACGCCCGCCCGCCGCCCGTCGCCCGCCGCGTGGCTCTCACCCACCGGCGACTCGCCGGCAGCCGCGACAAGACAAGTCGAGTCGCGACCGCCCTATCCCCCAGCGTGCTTATCCCGCTCCCTGACGCCGCTATCCCCGTCGCCCAATCGGCACCCGCGCCCTCCGCTCCCGGCACGCCATGCTCCACCGCCTCCGCCAAAGTGCCGCTCGACCATGACCGCACGAGCGCCTCGCTCCGCCAACCGGCTCCCCCGACAAACCCGCGCTGGCCCGCCACAAACCGTCTCCGCCCAATGCCCACAAGATCTCCCCCAGGAGCTCGCGCCCGTCGCCAATGGCGTCCGCCACCTATCCCCACGCGTCAGCAGCACCCCGGCTCCTCTCCGGTCCGACCGTGCAGCGCCCAAGCCCCGCCTCGCCTCACCGCGCTGCCCCGACCCTTAACAAGCGTCAATGCGCCGCCTAAGCTCGTTCCTCCCCCGCGCCATAGCCTCCGCCGCACTCTACTCCAAGCACCGCCGTGGAGCCCCTGTCTCCGCCCCGTGAAACCTCGCGCCGTCACTCGCCTTAACTCCGCAACATCGCCGCATAGCTCCCACACCTGCCCCGGGGGGGGGCGGGGCTCGCCGCAGCCATCTCGCCTCACCCGAGGGAGCCGACGGCCGGCCGCCGCCTCAATCTGCCGCGCCGGTTTTGTCTAGGGTTGGAGCAGAGACGCACTGGAGAGAAAATGAGAAGGAACGGGAGACCTAGGAGAGAAGAGAAACGGGAGAGGAAGGAGGGTAATTTGGACCCAAAAGATATTATCTGACAGCGTGGCCCATGGTTACTAACGGGAGAAGCTAACAGAACGGACGGTAGTGTCAAATTAGGGATGAAAGTTGAAGTGAGTGTCAAATAGGGAATGAAGAAAATTTCAGGGCCAACAAAAGAACGACTCATTTTCCCAGTGTCAAATAAGTAATTCTCTCTTTACGTAGACAGGACGATTTGTGGGCATTTGGGCTTTCGGCCGGTTAGATTAAAATTTGAAATTGGGCTGAATTTTTTTGGTGCTATGCATGACGTCATTTCAGGCCTCACCGAAATGACGGACAAAATTCGCCGAGTTTCGGCCCATTCTGTTCGAATCCTATGCTCGCTGAAGCTGAACATATCAGTCATCTGTGACACTTTCTGCTAAAAAAAAAGTCATCTGTGACACTTGTCATGAATGAATAACCAACCAACGTCCTACATATAATTTTTGTTATATATTCCTGTCAATTGCAGGGGCGCTGGCGTCACGATTATGCTCTTGTCATGGATCATCACGCTGTACACGCTGTGGCAGATGGTGGAGATGCACGAGATGGTCCCCGGAAAGCGGTTCGACCGGTACCACGAGCTCGGGCAGCACGCGTTCGGCGAGCGGCTGGGCCTCTGGATCGTCGTGCCGCAGCAGCTCGTCGTCGAGGTGGGCGTCAACATCGTCTACATGGTCACCGGCGGCACCTCGCTGAAGAAGTTCCACGACACGGTCTGCGAGAGCTGCAAGCAACTCAAGCTCACCTACTTCATCATGATCTTCGCCTCCGTCCACTTCGTGCTCTCTCAGCTCCCCAACTTCAACTCCATCTCCGGCGTGTCCCTTGCCGCCGCCGTCATGTCGCTCAGCTACTCCACCATCGCGTGGGGCGCGTCGGTGGACAAGGGGAAGGTGGCGGACGTGGACTACGGGATGCGGGCGACGACGACGACAGGGAAGGTGTTCGGCTTCTTGGGAGCGCTAGGGACCGTGGCGTTCGCCTACGCCGGGCACAACGTGGTGCTGGAGATCCAGGCCACTATCCCGTCGACGCCGGAGAAGCCGTCCAAGAAGCCGATGTGGAAGGGCGTCGTCGTCGCCTACATCGTCGTCGCGCTGTGCTACTTCCCTGTCTCATTCGTCGGTTACTGGGCCTTTGGCAAAACTGTTGACAGCGACATCCTCGTCACGCTCTCCAGGCCCAAGTGGCTCATCGCCCTCGCCAACATGATGGTCGTCATCCATGTCATTGGCAGCTACCAGGTACATATTGTACATACATATATATGTCTTCCAACTTCCAACTTCCAAGTCAAGCATGTATAGTTGTATACATGGAAGATGATGGAACTCGGTACTGCACCATCTCTGAACTGAATGATTGATGGCTGCACAGATTTATGCGATGCCGGTGTTCGACATGATGGAGACGGTGCTGGTGAAGAAGCTGCGGTTCCCTCCAGGCCTGACGCTCCGTCTGATTGCCCGTACCGTCTATGTTGGTAATGCCTTTGCCTGAACACAGCTTTATTTTTTATCAGCCTAAACTCTGAACAAATAAGACTGACGAGATGCCACATGTGTGCAGCGTTCACAATGTTCATAGCCATCACCTTTCCCTTTTCGATGGATTGCTCAGTTTCTTCGGTGGATTCGCGTTTGCGCCGACAACTTATTTCGTAAGCTCCTGTCGATTGCGACTATCCAATTGTGTTTTGGGTTTCAGAATGTAGCATGACAACATGAGAGCTGACCAAATCTTGTTTTTTTTTTCTTTTCTGCCAGCTTCCCTGCATCATGTGGCTCGCAATCTACAAGCCCAAAAGGTTCAGCCTCTCATGGTTCGCCAATTGGGTAAGAACTAACCGACAATAATCCACCCTATCTTATCTGAGCTTAACCTGTTGTCGTCTAACTTACTTGTGCTCTCCCTATTCTTCAGATCTGCATTATACTTGGAGTGCTTCTGATGGTACTGGCGCCGATTGGAGGACTCCGGAATATCATTATTAGCGCCAAGACATACCATTTCTACCAGTAAACATGCATGATTGTCCAACACAATGCAAACCCCTTGTTTATCTAATTACAAAAGAGACCCTGACAGGTCTCAGGCCACATTAATCATCAGCTGAACAGGTTTTGGATTTTGTACCACGAGATTCCGAACTTCTTGTTTGGCACGACAAAAAGCTCGCATCAGATGCTCTAATCGGCAATCGACTATAATGTCTAGTGCGAGTTCTTTGCCGTGCCAAAAAGGGAATGATACCATGGTATACAGAACTTAAAACTTGTTCCAGTACGTGATGAATAATGTTCCTGACATGTCAAGTTTCCCTTAGTCATGGCCTAACCTAGGAGTTTGCTTTGAACGGATCATATACATGTATCTGTTGTTTTTGTTCGTACTTATTTATATTCAGGGGAATGTTAGCTTTTGTGTATGTCTAAAACGGAAAATGAAAGTGTGGTGCATGCTTTGTATTTTTTTTTAGATAATGAAAATGGTGCTTTGTATTTGTTGAAAAAGAATTCCGAGCAGTTGAGGGAGATTTTCTCCGTATTTTCATTCAATTAATCGGGACTAGAGGGTAACCTTTAGTCCCAGACTGAGCCACCAACCGGGACTAAATAATGTTCAAGCTATATATCCACTTAGCTTTCTTGTATATATACATGACACAGGTAACGGGCTTCCTTGGTCCTCAGGTCTTTTAACGGTTAAGAGGCCCACATAAAAAAAATGGCCTCCATTTTCGTAGGTGGACTTCCTCCGTCAATGAATTTACCGCGGCGGTCATTTTTTCGATGCCTCCGAAAATCATTGCATATTTTAGGAGACGTATAGACTGTGTGTCGGCCTCCGAAAATCCTAGGAGCCTGTCTCACAAATCATTTATGTAGCAGTATATATCGAATACCTTGAAAGCGAGATTCTCATCTGCTTGACGCTCTAAGAGACGTTCGAACTTGATACAGAGATCCTGAATGCTTGACTAAAGATCCTCCACCTTGGATTGTTCTTGAGGCTTCTAGTTTGACAGATCTTGTAGCACCGAGGTGTTCGCTTCCAACGCCGCCTTGAGCGAGCTGTGTTGTTGATCCATCAACGATTGCATCCCCTCGAGGAACGTTCTGAGGTCGCCGATCTGATCTTCCATCGCCACCAACGTCTTCTGCTCTCTAGTCTGGTAGACTGGTACTGAGGTCGAAGTCCGAAGGCGCCACCAGACTTGCTCTCTCCGCCGACGAGGGCAAACTCGTTGGCCAACCGAACCCCAAAGACCCCACCGCTCTAGTCTATCTGAGATTTCACTCAATCACTCTCTCTATTGTATCACACGAAGAATTTAAGTGGTCTTTACAAGATCTGGCTCTCGAGATTACAGAAATGGGGCAAGATGCTCCCGCCACCACACTCCGGACACGATTGGCCTTCTTCGTGGGTTTCTTCTCCCCCCTCCTTCGTGTGTTCTCCTTTTACATGCCTCCTCTGCAACTTGGTTGGGCCTGCATCACTTGGTCGGGCCTTTTACATGTTAGGCTTTCTCTGTCTTCTGGACTTTCGGTTCTTTGGGCCATCGCCAGTTTCCGCAGCTTCTGCTACTCCAGCCTCTACGCCTTCTCGAAGGTAATCTGACACTGACAGCAGAGCACAGACTTTTCTACAATTTCCGTCAACACGTTTCGTCGTCGTTTGGCTCTCCAGTAAACTGCAGACAGAACGAAGTCGGTCGTTTCAGCATCAATGAGACAACGACAGGACTGCGGTTGTAAGTTCGAGGAAATTTGGTCACACACGGTGAGTGGCACAGCACACTCCTTGACTTCAATTTATTCTCTCTTGAGTCAAATCGGCATTTTGTGTTGAAGGAAAAGACACGAAATTCATCACGTTATCGCCTTATCGGAGACAGAGAGTGCGAGGTGAGGCTTTGAACACACACACTGTGACACTAACACTGACAGCAGCGGGAATGTGTCTTCTCCTGCTGTCAGATGGGAGATCGGATGGCCTGTATGAGCTAGCCTAGCCACCAAGGCAGCAAGCTGCTGGAGCCATGCGTTGTGTTCTATACTAGGCAGGCAGGCGCGCTACGCCGCGCCCGTATTGGCTGCACAGGCCTGTTTGTGCTTTGTGAAGTCTGAAGTGATACTCTTGCATCTCTAGGGCAAGGTAAACAACAACGACGGGATAGTATTCATTAATTTAGATACGTACAACAGAGTGAAGCACTGGTCTATAGAGACTCAAATATACATTAGTAATTCGTTATGGCTACATAAATGTACATGCTTTCAGGGAAAAAAACATAAAACAGTTTGCAAATATTCGAAATGGTTACAAAAAGTACAGATGCTTGGTATGTTGTGTGGATTGTAAGAAAACAATAGCAGCTGGACCCTCGTCTCCAAATTAGTTCAGCAAGAATGAAGCCACTGTTGCTGCATGACCTTTGTGCTCTCCGAATGTTCTCCCTGCAATCTCTTCGTCCAACTGTATTTTAGATACACTTGTGAATAGGCTTGTAAAGCAATTAAAATTGTTGGTCAATGAAAATTTGGGATGAGCATTTCAAGCCAATTAGAAATAATTTCAACATTAGTAAGGTTGCCACTGACAACAGAGATAATCTAAACATCAGTGGGGATGATCTCAAAATAGGGCATAATACTCTTTGAATGATAGAACCAAGAGTGACGCCTTCTGTAAATTAGAGGCATTTCATTCTTTCTCCTGTAACAGATGGACTGAGCCTCAACTGAAAGAATTAAAGTACATACGATTACTCACCTGCAATTCAGAGTTGATCTCACTGCTACTGAATATGAATCTCTGTTGAACAGGGAGAGGTCGTAGTTAGGAGGGAAGCAACATAGGGGTCAACACGGACTCACCAATTCTGCTCATATAGAAGAATATAACAGCATTAACAAACAAAAACATGCAGTACCCTGAGAAGGAAATTTTCTTGTTGAAAGAGACTTATCAAGTCTGTTGTGCCATGTGCACAAGGTAAACAAAGATATGGTGCAAAAAACTGAACTACAAAAAAATGAAGGTCAGAACAAAGCTAATAAGAATGTATATGGTGTGTGAAAGTAGCGCTACTCACGCATATTTGGTGTGTGAAAGTACACAAAGGTATTGTGACACAGTATAACTTGAAAACAAAAATGAACTTTTGCCATAAATTAGTCATTTCATTGTTAGAAAAATTATCCTAGATACAATCGACGCAAGAAAAAGAGTGTAAGGACCTGTTTGGATCCTATCAATTGAAACCAATGTCTAAAGAATGTTTTCCATATCATTATTAGATTCCTAATTTCTCTCAATTCCTTGGAAGCAAACAGACCTTAAGTAGTAATATTTGAAGAACATCTCTCTCCTTGGCATCCAATCTCTGTTGGGCGGAATACCAATTACAGGCATGCAGGAAACATAATCATGGATGCATAGAATGCAGATTCAATTAACATCCTAAGGTAACTGGTTGGCAATTCCAAAGCTAAACTTAAAGGATGCACTGAAAATCCATTCACTTAAAGAACGATGGGAAGGTATGACAGTGAGCGATAAAACGAATGGAATAGTAGTAGAGTACATGTTGTCCAGAATGGCAGGTCAGTGTCATGTGCGATCAACACGCATTACAACACCCTTTCCACAATCTGAAAAGGAAATGACCTGAAATCAAAGGGAAAAAACATCTCAGTTGAGATTGGATCAATCATGAAATAGCAATTGTATGAAGACATGGGACTAATATACAAAGTAGGTTGTTTGTCCCAACTTCACAGGTAAATGCAAATAATATTGCTTTGCGCTGTAACTGTTTGTAAATATCAAGAACATGGAGGCTGGCATAAGAAACATTAAGAACCAAAGGTCACACTAAGTCTGTTTCATATAAATTGTAATCTGCACAAAGAAAGGAAAAGACAGTAAATGTTATTGGGTACATAAAATTTTCAGTTAACAGAAGCAAAGTTATAAGACATAGCTTCAGTGTTACCTAATAAGAGGCTGGCAAGTGGCAACAACAAAGAACAGTTCATTGCCCTCACCAATTAGTTTGTATGAACTCTGCAAATACCTATTCTAGCATATTTTGGCAATAGGATTTAGCTAGCTATTGCCCAATGTATATGAAAGGAAAAATGATGTAACGTCATTAAGGTGATAAACTAATCTATCATCTATTATACTCAATAGAAATTGAACGCTATTTACAAACTCTCAATCTCTAAACATT